ACTTGAAGAGGTGTTGATGGTGAGGAGGGTGATCTCATCGACTTTGAGTATGAACGCGGTGAGCTCCGTTGAGTGAGAGGCAGCACGATTGGTGCCAAAGAAATAATCTTTCACCGCTAAGGCAGTTCCGAAAGTGAATCCTAGAAACCTAGAGAAAGTGGCTGTCGTGCAACAATTCACGTTAAGCCAACTGTCAATAAAAATCCTACGGTTTCACCAGTGACGAACGATTCCGATCAATGTCAGCTGGAAGTCGAATAAACTTCTTCAATCTGGCGCTGTTATGGAAATTAACTTGGTGCATGCATCTTCATTAACATTCAAAATCATCAGTTCATGTGTCTTAATAACAAAAAGGGATTCATCTCCTTTTTTCAGTTCAAAAAAAAGAGAGGAGATAACTTTTTTTAATGAACCTTTAAAAAAAAGATAATACATATTTTAAGCTCATAATAATTTCCAACATCTTGGTGTTCATTTTTCATTACTGTGGCTCCCTAAAAGGTTGTTGGCTCTGATCTCAAAGACACAACAGTTAGTGCAAACACTTAAGGATATAGAACCCTGTGTAAGTATGCATAATTGTGATTTGTGAATATATTTCAATTACATCTTTTCCATATCGACTACTTGACTGTGAAGTCAACTTGGTTGCTTCTGTGTCTCGAAATCGGCTTAGTTTTGATATATATGTCTAGAACTAATAAGATATGAAAACAATAGTTTCATATATATATATATATATATATATAAGTAGATATATATGAAAATAATGTTTCACAATTAATAAAGCTGAATTCTTTTTTTTCGTGATGGCAAGAAAAGTTGTCTAAAAATTTAACACTATATTTTTTAAAATTTTATTAAGTACTCCACATTTTCATCTTCTTATTGTTTTAACCAAATTATGGGTAAATTATTTAATAATCTAAAATTTTTTTTCAATCAATATTTTATTTTCGGTCTAACAAAAAATTTGACATCAATCTAAATAATATTTTAGCACATAATTAATAATATAAAACCATATACATAAATTTTCAAAATATTCATAAGAAAAAAATAATAATCTAAGGATTTTGTATTAAAAAATATTTTACTTATTATCAAAATTATCATAATTACAGTATAATAAACAAAAAAATATGTAAACCTATTATGTATTCATGAACATTTTAATATTAAGATAATCATAATCTATAAAAATAATAACAAAACATACACAATAGAAATTAATATCACCTTAATTTGAAGTAAGCTAAACATTTTGAAATATTCTTGAGCTGATATATTAATGTATTTTTCGGTTACTAACACACACGTAGTGTAAAGAGAGAGAATAAAATTATACTAAAAATTAGTTGTTTGGTTAATTTTAAATTAAAAAGTAGTATATCTCATATATATATATTTTCTGCAAATGTAAATCTAAAACACAAAGCCACAAATCATACAAAAATAATAATCTTGATCATAAGTAAAGTATATCCGCCCGTAGGGCGGGCCGGTCCTAGTACTTCATAAATTAATTATCTTCGGCATTAAATAGGAAGATTGAGTTCATGAATTAATTATTATCAACATTACTTAACACCTAATATAACTTAATTTTAAAAGTTATTGGTATTTGACAATTGTGATATAAGACATAAATTTCTTCTATCACCATGTCAAATATCAAATAATTTAATATTTGTAAGTTACATTAAGTTTTAAATAGTGTTGAGAATTATTAATTTGAGATTTACAAATTAGTTTTATAATAAAATAATGTATAAATATTTATAAATTAGTTTTACAAAGGCTATAAATCAATTTAAAACTATTTACAAGTGATAATAAAGAAACATCTAATGATTTTTAAAACATTAGTTTTTCATAAAGATGATGTTATGTATAATATTATTAATTTATCGAAAACAAAAATGATTATTTTCGAATTTTATTTTAAAATGACATATAAATTTTCTCAAATATATTCTTGAAATTAGAATTGTAACATATGATAGATTTAAACCCTCTCGAGTGAAATATGGTTTTTGGAATGAAAATTGTAACCCCCCCCCCCCCCCGCCACCCCCTGCAGTAACCTTTTCTCCACTTATCAACTGATTATTAGTTTTTGTTTTAAAATAATAAATTTAAGTAATACAATTTTATCAAAATATTCATATAACAGTCTTAATATACTCATAGAATTATCTTAAGCGATAATCATGTTCTAATATACTACTGTATTCTTACATTTTTATCAAATAATATTTTAAATAATAAATTAATATTGAAAAACTCTTTTTCTTAAGTTTGGTCATGTTAGTAATTTTTTTATTTTCTTCCTAGATTACATTAAAATTTAGCATAAATAATCTATAATTTCACTGAGTGATCTTTTAATTAAAAATTTCTATAAAAAATTGATATTTAAATCAAAGTTGGACTTAAGATTTTATACCTACCCCAACCAAGAAGGGGAAGAAAAACAAACACACAGAAAGTCTTTGTATTTCAACTTTTAACCTAAACATAAGTTGAAAACCAAAAACAGTTAAAAATCTGTTACTTTTTTTTCAAAGAACATAAATTGCAGTAAGAAGTCTTGATAACTTAATCTAAATATTTTAGCTGGTAAATAAATGAAAATCTAACTTAATTAAAGTTCTCTGACAAATTAAATAAAAAGAAAGAAAATAAAGAAGAAAAAGGAAAGAAATGTAGTAACATTTTTTGCTAAAGATTTCCTTGACTTGAAATACCCAATAAAAATCTAAAACAAGCTTCGTCCTTAAGAATCCATAATTCATACATATAATCAAGAAGTAGCTTGGTGTCGAAAAAATCAACTACTGTGCGCGAGAGATAAAAGAAATCGGTGTGTTCAACAGATTCAACAACAAAGTTTTCATTTAAACTCAAAACCAGTATTGTAATTGCGAATTGTGGAAGCTTATAATGATGAAAACTCTTTATGAAACGACACCATTCTTCTGATGTTTTTCTTCGTCTTTCTTTTGTTCAAGATCTTATGTGAGTTCAAGAGTCTATCAATCTAAAATGTTTTCAACCGTTTTTTCATTTGTACGTGTGTAGTTAAAACGTGATGGATAAATCAGACACGTCAAGACAAGTTACAAAATGGGAATCTCTGGACAGAGACATACTTGGCCTTATCTTCAGTAAGCTAAGCCTAGAGGACTTTACCATGCATGCATCACGCGTCTGCATCTCTTGGTTCATTGCCTCTCACAACAGAACTCTATGGATCACTGTGGACCTCGCCAAAGCCAAGTTACAGGAAGGCCTAAGCCTTAAGAATGTCTTTACGAGAATGTTCAAATTTTTTGACATTAGGGAAACACGCAGAAGTCTCATGACTGTCACCAAGTTCAGCAGCAGTGTTCCGAAGAATTTGTTCTTTGACTTTTCTTCATATATAGAAGAGGAGGATCTCATGTTCGCTGCTGCGAGGTAAATCTCATCTTTACAACTGAATCATAGATACAGATTTGTGTCTCATTTACATTTGTTTTATAGGATGCCAAACATAGAGAGACTTGCTTTACCACGCTGGTGCTTTCAGTCCAAGAATTCATTTCAGATTGCGTTTAGTCAATGGAAGAATCTTAAAACACTGATCATCCCTGATGACTATCTCACCGGAAGATTTGAGTTTCAAGCTGTAGGAGAGAACTGTAGTAACCTAACAAACTTGAAATATTTGGGTTATTTGGAAAACAAAATTGCTAAGCTAATCGTGGGTTACCTCAAGAACATCAAGAAGTTGAGTTTGCGATGCTCTTTTTTCAGCAGACCAGGACTTTTATTGCTAATCACAGGCCTCCAAAAACTTGAAATTCTTAATATTTCACATTCTAAAGAGTTGGATATGATTCCTGATCATCGTGAGGTAGTAACAATGGAAAATATTATCCAAGCCGTCAATGAGAAGCGTCTCAAATTTATATGTTGTTGGCTAGACAATTGCACGGTTTGCAAAAGTCGATCTAGGTTTGATACGTTCTGGTCGTATGGCTCTAAGCATTGGCGAAATGATGAGATAAATGAATTTCAGTTCTGAGCTTTTGAAAGCTATTTCGATGTTCTTTAACAAATTATCTGTTTCTGTTTCATTATCAACATTTTGTTTTATATATGTCGCTCTTATTACTCTAATCAAGCCTTCTTTTATCCAAAATGATAAGTAATGGTTCCGTATGAGTAAGAGCACATTTAACGGTGAATTCTTGTAGAAATTCTCACTTAAAAATTAATAATAACAAAAATAAGAGAGAGAATGAACAAAAGTTCTCTATTCAGTATTTAAAAAAACTAGTTCTTTTTTTCGTCAAGTTTATATAAATAAAAGGGATCAAGTCCAGCAAGTACAAGGCCTAAGCCCAAACGGTAATAACAATATAAAGTCCATAACAAAAGGAACATGAAGAAACCAAAGGCCTGCAGCCCAAACCGAAATTAACCGGACAGCTCCCGTAAGCCCACGCGACAAGGAGGCTGGACACGTGTGAAGATCTTATCCCTCGGTACGATACGTGTCGCTTCTGCCTCAACCCATGCCTCAACCCATCACCGCTTCGAGACGCCGCCGGAACATCACCACCGGAACCCTCGTTTCGTTGGAGCTCATAACAAAGAGCCTCCACCCATAACCATCAATACTTTTCAACGCTTAGTCTTCCTATGGAGAGCTTCATCGATCTATTCGAGATCTCATCCTTCTAAGCAAAACCCACGAACCACTAAAACCAAGAACCACACCCGCTCCAAGATCGGAACCAATAATCTACCTCTCGAAAGACATGAAATACCTAGAGACGGCGACGCAAGACTGTTGAAGCCTTCACTTCCCGGAGACAAGAGCCGGCGACGGCGAATCTGAGAAAGCCTCCACCTCCGGGAGACAAGGACCGACGACGACAGAGCTGTAAGAGCCTCTACCTCCCGGAAACATTACTCAAACTTGCTAATCGACTTCTCTCCACCAACCTCTCCACACGACCACGCCTTTACTCCAGAAACCGGAGTTCCATTGACGTCGATTCACTCTCAGAGTTATCGACGACCGATAACCGTTGGACCAGAGCTCAGACAAAGCGGTAAGGGAGCGGAGATGAAAGAGAATCAAAGGAAAAACATTATTGAAGAAAGGAAGAGAAGCTCCGGCGACGGCACGCACGCTCACGCGCCGGCTGCTCGCCGGACTCAATAGCAGATCTACTTTCTCTTTTCTCTCTCTCTTTCATGCAGTGAATGTGTTCTGAAAAAGTAAAAAAAAAAATTAAAAAATTAGTTTATGACATTGGAAAACAGATGACATTCAAGTAAAGGTGAAATAGATATTTTGACTAGTTTTAAAAAAATAAAATGTATTGAATTATTATAATACTATTTTTTTTTCTTTTACACACTCTCACGGAGGAGCTGTTCTAATAGATGACATTCAAGTAAAGGTGAAATAGATATTTTTTTTTTCTTTTACACACTCTCACTAGTGTTGCTTTTGAGCTGAACCATTTCACTACACATCTCACCAGACCTCGTTTTAAGAGCTTTATGCACAGTCTCACCAACGGAATATCGATTGAAAGATACATGCACTCTTAGCCATTCAGGTTTCTGATCACACAGACAGTCTTCTCTTTTTTCATTTCTCTGATCGATTTCTTTCTTTTTTTTCCTTTTTTTCTTTTTCATGTTTTGAGAAGTGTAGACGAATAACAGGGTCACAATAATTTTTCTGAGCCTTTACGTCCAGTTTTGTGTGATCAAATATAGTAAATAATGCGAGAATAGGAAATTTCATACCTATTATTACTCAGAAAATCATTTCACTCTTTTTCTTATTTTTTAGATGTTGAAGGGAAGAGAAGGGAACCATATTCACACAAACATGTCTTTTAAGACTTGAACTGAGAATCCGATTAAGTGTAAACCAAACCCAAAATAAGAGAATAGAAGTTGGTTAATGTTGGAGGCTAGTTTTGGATCCTTCAGACACTCACAAGAATGAATCAATCCACTATAGCTTTTCTATGTAATATAACATGTAATCAATAATTTAAAGAATGATGCTATGTCAACAGTTAAATGATTAGTTCTAAGAAAAGTTCATAGTTCACAACTGATTCAGTTTTGATTCAATTAAACGACACAATTGACACTTAAAACAAAACACAATGTCAGCAAATACTTGCTTTCCTCAGATGTAAATAACATTTTCCCTAATGTTATACAATCTGAGTTTGTGCGCAAATATACAAAGAAAAACGAGTAAAAATTAAAAAAAGTAGAACATGTACCTGAGAACGGAGACTCTCAACCGACACTTACAAGTGTCGACCGTTACTCGGGTGGGTGGGGGTGTCAACCGACGTTAAAATGTTGTTGATCAACACTGGATATTCTACAAGTGGGTTACCTCCCACCAAGCGTTTGTTTACTTCAGGCATTTGTTTAGTACATATGAGATTGGTAACTTCCTCTAAAACAATTCCAATGTCCAATATCTTCCATTCAGCACATTTTTCATAAAACCTTTAACTGCTGCTTCTCCTTTGTCCATCATCTCTGAACTGAAGACGGCTTGAAACTTATAGCAAATGATGTAATTTTGAATTTTGGTCCAAGAACCGTCTAGTTCAAAAAATAAACATGATTCAAAATTTCAATGAGTCATATACAGTATTTTTTTTGTTACTGGTAAAAACATAAAAATAAAAAGAGAAATTGGTGGGATTGTCCCTAAATACACCTCATATTTGCCATCTATCCTTCCAAAATAGAAACTATTTTATCTGACCATTATACCCCTATCTTATTCTCTCTCTCTTCTCTTCCCTATCTTCTAATCTCTTTATCTCTCACACATGACATATTTATGCTTCATTTTTTCATCATAAATCTCTTTTTTTTACTCTGATTCTTTTGACACCCATATTGCTAATGTTATTATCTCACACTAATTCTATTATTTCGAATTTCAAATCTTGAAATATACGTTCTTTTATTTGGATAATATGTAAATTATCAGCTATTTCATTATTTACCCGTTATTATTATATTTTAATGAATTTGTAACCGATACATAGAGTGTTAGCTGTTACAAATAGGATTACAGCTATTTGATAGATAATTGATTAGCGGTTAATATATATATTTTTATGATAATAGTATTGTTAACATGCTAACTTGTTTGTTAACGATTTATTTAACACATTAATAAATAGACGTAACCCGATAACAAAATTTGTAGCATGTTAAAATTTTGTCAATTTGCTAACAATTTTTATATCATGTTAAAATTGATAAATATCTCTTAGTGTTCAGTTAACATAATGTGTATCCGCTAAATCTAAAGTTACATGTTTTCGATAAAGTAAGAGGGCATTTTCGTCCGCACAGTGTCAAAAGGTTACTCCTTTTTTGATTATCCACATCCATGGACATTCGACCAATTTAGATCTTCGTTAGGTACATTACACCAATTGTCTCAAATAAAAAATCATAGGTTCGGTTGACTTTGAATTAAAACTCTACCATAAAATTTAGAAAACAAAATCAACCGTTGAAGCCTGAAGGAAAAGAAAAGGAAGACGAAGCAGTTTCTCAAAAGAAACCACCATTTTTCATTTCGCGTCTCAAAGAGAGACAGAGACTAAACGTCTGAGAGAAATGGAGCACGCGATGTTCATGGCTTGTGTACTCGCCGGAACCATCCTGGGAGTGTTAAACGACGTCGTCGGAGTCGAGATTTTATCTAAATCAAAGCTAGAGAAGTGTGAGAAGACAAACGATTCAGGGAATCTCAACTGCTCAACTAAAATCGTCTTGAATCTCGCCGTTCCTAGTGGATCCGTAAGCTTTATTCTCATTAACTTTTTCAATGTATAATGCAATCTTGTATGTATTCATCAACGTGTACTTGGTTTCTTGACGAATAAGAGCGGTGGAGAGGCTTCGATTGTAGCGGAGATCGTGGAGGTTGAAGATAACTCGAGTACAAACATGCAAACCGTACGGATCCCACCGGTCATTACAGTGAACAAATCAGCAGCATATGCTCTCTATGATCTAACTTACATTAGGGTATGTTTCATTGTCTAAAAGTATAAATGGGTTCGGTTTTGAAGTTGATTATCATGAGTTGTTGTAACATTTCTCCAGGATGTGCCTTATAAACCTCAAGAGTTTCACGTTACGACTCGAAAGTGTGAACCAGATGCTGGACCAGATATTGTTGAAATATGCGAGAGGCAAAAGCAATCTTTTTCTTTTCTTTTATATATGTTTCTTTCTTGTGTTAGATTAACGGTAATACTTATAAAAGAACAGGTTACGTGATGAAAAAGGCAACGTTCTAGTTCAGACTCAGCCTGTCTGTTGTCCATGTGGACCGCAACGAAGATTGCCTTCATCTTGTGGAGATGTCTGTACGTGCTTCAAAACTTTCACTCTCTTGTGTGCGTTAATTATGAAGAAGAACTCTCATTAATTTTCTTCACTTGACGTTGATTAGTTGAGAGATTGATAAAAGGGAAAGCAAACACTGCACACTGCCTTCGTTTCCCAGGTGACTGGTACGTACGGATCCTCCTATATATGTTCTTATCATTATATATGCTTCTTGAATTTTGGTCATTTGATTGATATCTCTCATATATATATATATATATAGGTTCCACGTTTTCAGCATTGGACAACGGTCTCTAGGGTTTAGCGTGCGTGTGGAGTTAAAGACAGGAACTAGAGTTTCAGTATGTTTACTTCATCCATTCAAAGTTGGCTTTGTTGTAAGGTCTTTTATGATTCCTTTTTTATAAAATCGCAGGAAGTGATCATTGGTCCTGAAAATAGGACAGCGACTGCAAATGATAATTTCCTCAAGGTTAATCTCATAGGAGATTTTGCTGGTTACACAAGTATTCCTTCTTTTGAAGACTTCTATCTTGTAATCCCAAGAGAGGTGCGTAACTCCTCCATATCTATTTGAATTCTTTTACCTTTTAATAATAATGCTAAAAAATATATTATTTGTTAAAAAAAAAAAAGGCGGCTGTGGAGGGACAACCAGGGAGCTTAGGTGGAAACTACTCAATGTGGATGCTGCTTGAGAGAGCGAGATTTACATTGGATGGCATAGAGTGTGATAAGATCGGTGTTGGTTATGAAGCTTTCAACAACCAACCAAGTTTCTGCGCTGCACCATACTGGAGTTGCTTGCATAATCAACTATGGAACTTCCGTGAGGCCAGTAATTGATAACTTATAAACTTTATATAACAATATCTTACTGCATTAGTAGTTTCAGCGATGACAAAAGTTTATTTCAGGCAGATGTGAACAGGATTAACAGACACCAACTTCCCGTCTATGGACTAGAAGGAAGATATGAGAGGATTAATCAACATCCAGTTTTGTTTTCATCTTTTCATTGAATATACAGATTTGTTGTTGGCTTATTGGATTTTTACTTTTTTTGTGGTACAGAACTCAGGGCCTCACTCGTTTTCCATTGGAGTCACGGAAACACTCAACACAAATTTAATGATTGAACTAAGAGCTGATGATATTGAATATGTTTTCCAAAAGTAAATTATAAAGGTCTTCAACTTATTATTTTGAAAAAATCTGATTATGAAGTAACGTTTATGTGGTTGCAGGAGCCCTGGTAAGATCATCAACATTGTTATCCCGACATTCGAGGCACTTTCACAATTTGGAGTTGCTGCAGTCACTACCAAGAATACTGGTGAAGTAGAAGCTTCTTATAGCTTAACGGTAACACTCATAAAACTGAGTCTTATCTGCTACTCTGATGGCTTGAAATTTTCATAGTTTATATTAATCGCAACTTATTTCCTCATGCACAGTTTGATTGCTCTAAAGGTGTAGCTTTCGTCGAGGTAACTCTCAGTTAATCTTATAAGAACAAGAATTGTTCAGAGGAATGAATGATGCATTCTGAACATCTTGCAGGAGCAATTCTTCATTATAAAACCAAATGAGGCTACAACTCGATCCTTTAAGCTATACCCTACCAAAGATCAGGCTGCAAAATATAAATGCACAGGTGAGTTTTAGTCCTTACACAAGACATTACCAAACCTAAACTTTTCTCTTACGGTTCCATGCTTCCTTTTGTAACAAGTTCTCTGTTTTCTCTCTGTGTGTATGTAGCTATACTTAAGGATTCTCAGTTCAGTGAAGTAGATAGAGCAGAGTGTCAGTTCAGCACGACAGCTACCATACTAGACAACGGAACTCAGGTTAAAGTTGTGTCCGCTTCTTGATTAATGTCGATGTAAGATCATTGAGTGGCTAAGTATTATTAAACCCTGCAGGTTACTAATCCATTTCAAATTCCAGAGACTAGTCCTAAAGGTTTCTTTGAGTCGATTAGGCTCATATGGACAAAACTCATGAATGGTTTTGTCGATTTCATCACAGGAGACAGTTGCAGGTTACACACTTTTTGCTAAGATTCTTCTCTTGATGACATTCTTTGAGAATAATGATGACTTGAAAATGAATTAATTAATTATGATCTGAGCAGAAACAAATGCTCAAGTTTCTTCGACTTCAGTTGCCACATTCAATACGTTTGCTTAAGCTGGATGGTTATGTTCGGCCTCCTCCTCGCTCTCTTTCCAACCAGTAAGCGTTTCAAAACGCAACATCAGAACGTTATATTATATAGTTACAAAACGAATTAACTAACGGTACTTGTGTTTATATATATAAAAAACCTCACAGCTTGTGTCCTTTTCTGGCTGTTACACCAAAAGGGACTCTTTGATCCATTATACGATTGGTACGAAGATCATTTTGATTATCATCATAGGTTAGTGCACACTAGAGAACACGGTGTAAACCACCGCCATCATCATCACCGTCCTCACCATCTCCAACTTCGCCATGGTGTCAAAACGCATAAACATCAGCGTAGGACACAACAGAGACACAAACACCATCATCGTCATGGGCAGGAGGACGACGTTTTGCAAAAGATGCTTGAACGTACTGACCACAAGGAGGCGCACTATTACCAACAACTCCACCGAGTCCATAAAGACGGCAAGCAGAAGCAGCGTAGACACGGAGGCAAGCACGGGATAGTCATGTCACGTGATGTGCACGCTGACAGACGTAGGAGGGAAAGGCTAAAGGAGGAGATTTAAAATAAAAGCTATTGCCTATTGGCATGTGGGAAGAAACATATTTTTTGTATGAAAATAGACTGCTGATGTGTATGTGTGATATTTTTTTCAAACAATGGTTTTTGATTTGGTTCGGTAATTTATTACTTTGGTTTATATTGTTTTATAAAAAAACCTATAGATTTATACCAAACAAACCAAAACTATATCCAACGTCAAATCAAACTTACCTAAATAACTCAATCAACCAAAACTACCAAATATTTAACCAAATCTATACTATTATTTGCGAAGTGATTTTTCGCAACGGAGCTCTCACGTTAAAAGTTAGAGTGGTTAATATCGATTATACCCTTAATGAATAAAATATATAAATTAAACATAAAATAAAAACGAAATTGATATTTATTTGATTAGATAAATGATTTAAATTAATAATAATGATAAGAATTATCCATAGTATAAATATATATTTAAAAAGAAGAAAGATAATTCTTATATATATTGTGTTGTTATCCGGAAAATATATTTTAATAAAAAATCAAAAACAGAAAACACATAAATAAATACCCATAAAGAAACTTTTTAATTGTACATAATTGAAAAGAGAAAATTGAAAAATTTATAATACGTAATTATTTTCTAATTAAAAGAATATAATAATATAACATAATGATATATATATTTGTGAAGTAATTTTATTTGCAAAGTGAATTTTAGCAACGGAGCTCTCACGTTAAAAGTTAGAGTGGTTAATATCGTTTATACCCTTAATGAATAAAATATATAAATTAGACATAAAATAAAAACGAAATTGATATTTATTTGATTAGATAAATGATTTAAATTAATAATAATGATAAGAATTATCCATAATATAAATATATATTTAAAAAGAAAAAAGATAATTCTTATATATATATTGTGTTCTTATCCGGAAAATATATTTTAATAAAAAATCAAAAACAGAAAACACATAAATAAATACTCATAAAGAAACTTTTTCATTGTACATAATTGAACAGAGAAAATTGAAAAATTTATAATACGTAATTATTTTCTAATTAAAAGAATATAATAATATAACATAATGATATATATATATATATATATATATATATATTTGTGAAGTAATTTTTCGCCTCTCAACTCACACGTTAAATTAAAATTATTTTATATTTTATATAGTATAACATTAAACATGAATTAATCATAATAAAACAAAAGATCATTCAAAAAGAAAAAAATACGTTGTTGACAAAATAAATTCAAATATATTGTTTTATTTTGATGATTTTTTAAATTGTCTTAAAAATAGTTAAGCCCGCATGTGCGGGCAAAACACCTAGTCCCTTATATATTAATGGAGAAACATTTAAAAAATTGTAACCTCAATTTTGTAATAATTAAAAAAAATCTCATGCTTAGGTGTCACTCAATTAGATAATGAGTTACATTCAATTGAAAAATAAGTAGGTCCACATTCGATTTTTATATGTCGTTAGATACATTCGTTGGTCAAATTATATGATATGATGATATGATATGATATTTATGATAGAAGCATTTATTATTGTTCCCCTAGATATAATTACTATTTTATTGTCTTTCCATAAATAAAACCTACGGAATTACCATAAATGACTAATATATATATATGACACTTAATGATTCTACTAATAAATATTTGATAACAGTTTATATATCCTCCATCATTTTTCTTTAATTTTATATTATTAAAATAAATTTAACAATCAAATTAGCTATAAAATTAAACTTTAGATTTTTTTGTATAGGCTATATTTTGAATTTTAAAAAACGAGAATAAATAACTAAACTATTAAAATTATTATGTTAAAAATTAATGATCAATAGTTTAACATTTTTATTATAAAAAGATATACATGATTTTAAAACCATATAAGTAAAAAGTATCATTCAATGATAAAACAAATATATATACAGATTAAACTATATACCATATAAGATTACATAAATATTTTAATTTCAAAATTTTCAATAAATTTTCAAGAATATTTATAAATTATAAACTTATTAATTTTTTCACATTGAAAATTTTTGTTATCAGTGATTTAAATATCTTAGTTCTTTTTAATTTTATATTTTTAAAAGATATTAACAATCGGTAATATGGTTATTTTTGGTATATACCATACAAACCGAATGGATGTGATTTTATAAAAATCATAGGATTTGGATATGGTTTGATTTATAACCGATTAAACTGAAACATGTAAATATGTATATATTTATAACGACGCATGAATATCTATTTGTTACATGAGTTGAACTATAATTATAATTTGTAAATAGCTAACAATTTATTACAACTGAGACTTCTTATTTTGATCTTTTTCTTTTTTAACAGTAACTAAATTGAAGTAAAGATTATAAATTTGATGGACAACACTTAGTTGAAATTCTTTACAACTTTTTTTTTATCTTTAAACAAACAAAGTTGTGTTCAATCGAAGACATATTGGTTTGATGAACACTAAATATGGAAGAATATAAAAACTTTTCTTTCATGCTTCTGTTTTGTTTTTTATTTTTATTTTTCAAAATTTAGTGTTTTGATATTAATTCTAGATTTGATCATTTTATTAGATGATAGAAGCCTTTTTTGTTTTTTATTCATTTATTTAAATATATAATATTTTTTTAATGAATGACTCCGTGACAATATGACTCTAAAATATGATCATATTATATATTTGTATAATATATAATATGATCTCAAACTAAATAATTATGTTTTTTTGGTATAAAATTGAATAAACTGAAAACCGATGGTATATAAACCAAATCAAACTGAAGTACATATAGATTTAGAATAGTAGTTATACTTTAATGATCGAAATTCCAAAAAATCAAGCCGAACGGAAACCCGATATCCGGATTGAACAATCCGAATGAAACTGAACTGTTGTTTCATTTTTCAGAACATAATAAAAATAATAGTTTCACTCCGCGCAAGGCGCGGCTCTTATCCTAGTTAAACTATGTACGACTGAATTCAAAATCAACAATTTTAGTTCTGTTCTGTAGAATTTTTAAAGTGAACTAACCAATCTCCAACCGTATCGAAACTAGATTTGTTCTGTTTAGTCCAGTTTCATTTCTTTTTGTAAACACCAAACTAACAAAAAGTTGAACTTCCCGACTATTCGTGTAAAATGAAAAGTAGGTCTATGCTAAACTATATAAAACCAGGCCTAGTTGAAATTGTCAAATGTAGTAAAAATAACGATGGGGGGGGGGGGGCATATGGGTTCAAGTTTAGGATTCAGTTTAGTTAATTCACTTTTGACTTTTGACAAAGCTTTATCAAAACTCAACTGGAGTTAGTGTGTTCGTTAAAAGAAATAACAAAACACAAAGCAAAAATATATTTCACCAATAATATTGAAAATAATATAAAACTAGATCTTGACCCGCACAACCGTGCGGGTGTTAATTTTACTTTTTATATTTCACAATTATAGTTATTCATATGTTCTAGTTGTTCCTAAATTATATTTGTTGGTGTAATGTGTTACTGATGATTAAACAAAAAAGTTGTATGTTAAATAAGTCATTTGTTATTTGCTATATTTTCATAAAACCTACATTTTCAATATATATTTTTGTAAAGTATACAATTTAATTTGGATTATTTGTGTATATTAATATATATATATATATATATTGCTAAATGTATATTAATACATATATGCTAATAAAAAGATTAGTTTTCATAGTTTTGGATTTGATATATTTTTCATTTATATAGTAATTAATTTATATCTTGTTTATAACACTTGTAACAATGGTGCTATAAAAAAGGGTCTATCTATTTATGATTTTGAAGTTTTACAACCAATATAATATTATTGATGCAGGTAAGCATAATATTCCCTTTTTGAATGATATTGCTTAATATTGGAATATATTTTCTTTGATATTATCATAACTTTTTTTACAAAAACTGTTACAATCACGAAATTATAGGATTCTTATACTATTATGATATTTTGAACCTTTGAAAGAATATTTTGCTTGTTAAATGAATATACCCATTTTTTTATATTTGATTATTTGAATACGCTCAACTTCATCTTCTCCAAATATCGTCTGCATTTTAGTACATTAAAGAAAATCATATAATACAAAGAGAACAGTCACTCAGATAAGACATACACAAATTCAATAAAAAAGTGAAAGAGAAATAACTCAAATATGACTTGAGCATGATTATTATAAATGAAACATTGTTAGTGACATAGGAAGAATGGTTGAACATGGTCATAGAGAATGTATGGTCGTCGTTTGTGAAACTTATGTATACTTTTAATAACAGGAAATATATGGTCGCATGTAATAAATATGGCCTAAATACACAAGTCATTGATTTTATATAATAGTAAAGTGAAGCATCACGATTAAATAAGATGGATTAGTAACATAAGACTTTAGGTGATATTAATTTGAAAATAAATGATAGAAGAATTATATATGATTACTTCCTAGTAAATGGTATAAAATGAAATATCACACATGAATAGAAGTTGTGACTTCTGTTTTAATAGTATTGATATATGGAGAAGGAAAATCGAAACTTGGAAAAGGAAACAGATGAGAAAAAAGGAAATATAACAAGAAAATAGGAAAACGCGTAAACAAACAAAAAAAAAAGAGTTATTTTTGGGTTCACCCCCTAGGGTGAATCTCTAAATTCACCATCCAATAAGATTGTATTATTTCATATTTGATATTTTTTAAAAAAGGAAACAAAATCTTGTTAAATTATATTATGTTTTTAAAAATAAAAATACAAAAATAAATAAATAATAATAATAATTAATAAAAACGAAAAATAACTTTTTTAGAAAAAATATTTTAACACTAAACCCTAAACTCTAATCCTAAACCCTAAACCCCTTGGGAAATCATAAATCTTTGGTAAATTTTATAAAAAAAATATTTTAAAATTTTTTTTTCACTAAAACATTAAACCCTAAACTCTAATCATAAACCTAAACCCTTGGGTAAATCATAAACACTAAACCCTAAACTCTAATCATAAACCCTAAACCCTTGGGTAAATCATAAACACTAAACCCTAAACTCTAATACTAAACCCTAAACCCTTGGATAAATCATAAACACTAAATTTTTATAGATTTATCCAAAGGTTTGTGATTTCCTAAGATTAGACTTTAGAGTTTAATGTTAAAATTTTTTTTTTAATAATTATTTTTCGTTTTTCTTAATTATTTTTTGTATTTTTATATTTAAAACACACCATATAACTTATTAAGATTTTGTTTCCTTTTTAAAAAGATATCAAATATAAAATGATGAAATTCTATTGGATGGTGAATTTAGAGGTTCACCCTAGGGGGTGAACCCAAGAATAAGTCAAAAAAAAAAGAAAATAAAAACCTAGTATAAATAAGAGTTTACTTCTCCACCACTAAAGAAGTGATCCAGTTGTTAACTATTTCTGTTCTCTTTAAACTCTCTCTCTGTTCGTCCCCTAAACAGCGAATCAATCTTTCTTTCAACAACAGGATCATGGTTTGGTTTGCGTATTGCGATGACGAACCCGACTCTTTAATCTCCTTCGACCCAGTCTTCACCGACACTCCCCAAAACCCTAACTTTGTGTTCGATTTCGTATTGGTTTACAGGCGAGCCCCCGAACCAAACTCAGATTCAGATTCGGATTCAGACGAAGATCTTGATGACCTCTGCGATTTAGAAACTCGAATCGTTCGTCAGACCCACGAGTTCGATAAAGATTGGCTCATCGGTGGCGATAGGGACCAGATACAAGACAACGTCTTTCAGATTCTTGAGATGATCCAAGTCCCTTCGTACTCTGACATCGTCCACACGTTAACTTTCCATATCTTGGAATTAAAGAAACGCGAGGCCATGTCTGATTCGCCGGAGATTGAGAGGATACGAGTAGAGATTGATGTTATCGTCCCGAGGTTTCCCTGTGATAACGACGATGTTGATCTTGAACTCGAGCTATGAGGCGGTTGAGTTGCTTATTATGTCAGATACCTTGTTAAGCAAGTGTTTAACACTTTAGGTTTTGTTTTACTGTTTAAAAAGGTTGTGTAATTGAATATTCAATACAGCCTATTTTGATTTCATGTAGTTATCTTGTTTCTTTTCTTTCCAGTATGAATAATATAATCTTTGAATATGTTGAAAACTGTATTTCACAACACAAGTGTTCTTATGAAAGCCTTTCGTAAGAACAGAGCTTTCAGATTCTGTTTCTTTGATATCCTCTCTTAGGATCAGCAATGGACCAATGTAAATTGAAAAAGAAGAAGGAAGATTTTTACAAAATCAAAAACAAAAAAACTAATCAATATTCATGCAATGATCTCACAAATAGTCTAGCACCTTACTCGGCGGCGATCAAGAAGCTTTTTTGACGAGGAATAAGTTCAAGCCTGTTCAGCTTTGTCACCAAAACATGAGAAGCAGAGATTGTTCCTCATCCATGGGAAATTAGTTCTCAACTCAGACTGAAGAAGGTGATGGTTTCAAGGTGATGAAACCATTAAGCTCAGTACTAGCTAGCCACCTCCTCCAATTGCATAGAGACTAGTTTATACGTACTGCTTCTGATATCGTCAGGTTCTCTACGTACAAAGGATTCAGGAGAGGTGAGTTTAAAGTCATCTTCTTTTTCACACTTTTTAGTTTGTTATGTTGACTTTTCATATCTATGTGGCAGATTGGTAGAAAACCTAATTAGTGGGCTCGGTGTCTTCCTACCACATGTGAGAGACTAGAAAATTAGGCTAGAAGGGAGATGCAGGCATTATTCTTTCAGTAAGATATACATTACAAACTGTTGCGTTTGGATTGATTCTTCCGGATAGGTGCTTAGTTTGAAGTGTTTTTTTTTATAATGCAGCGTGTACATTAATAGCTCCATGTTTCAAAAGCATAGTACGCAGTGCCAGCTCTTGGCATACGCCAATAATGTATTTGCACTAGGTTCAAAAAAAATTACAAGATTTTAGCTAGGAATTTAGGGTCTTTTTTCCAAAATTTTAGACTCTTTTTCATGATTTTTTTTAAATATTACAAAAGTAAGTCTTGCAAATCAGTTTTGCATAAGGGTCCACATAAAAACTGAGCCGGGACTGATAGTATGAATTCACTTAAGGTAGCTGTACTACGGCGGAGGAATCAATGTTTCATCCTCTCCCATACTCCTTGCGGTTCCTCGGTTTGACACACTTTAAACAGGTAATGAATTGTCCATTACTGTAACTCTAAGATTTGCTGAATGTTTGACATGTTGCAGTTCACAGTTCTTATATACTTCCATATTTTGTTTTGATTGCAAATTTTTGAGATGGCGAAAAATTATTACAGTTCAAAACGATCCACTTATTTAACAACCAACACGAGAAGGTAGACCATAGTCCGTAGAATAAAAGATAAGTTACAAAATACATTTGACTATAAGAATAGAGAAATAGGACATGTCATGTAATTCAACTGACGTACTCTTTGACCTGAATATGTTCAAGAAATATTACAAGGATGTCGTATAGCTTTGGGATGAGGAGGAGAGAGTAACATGATGTCTTCTGCTGGCTAAGATTATGAACGTTGATAATTTTTATTAACTGGAATTCTTAGCTTCAGTTAAGAAACGGTTTTAGTTTTTTATAAATTTTAAATAAGATATATAAGAGCTGTCTCTTAGCAAAAAATGTAAAATAAAAAACAAAAGAATATCAAATCATGAGTTAAGAATTCCGACAGACTAAGGTTAATTATGCCTTAAAACACCCGTATTCATTGTGCATCTTCCCTCTGAATTTTAGTTCTTCAGAACAATAATCAATGTAACGGAAATCTTAATAATATTATATTTAAAATTAAATTATTTTCTGTGTAAGGAGCATGAAAATTTCTAGTATTGATCTAAAAGAGAATCCCTAAATAGTGTTCGAAAGAATAGTATTTATTTTGAATTAATAAAACTGATATTTTTAAGATAAACGTTCAAATATTCAGTAATATATATCAAAAAACCTCTAGTTAATTATCATGTTGTATTGGCATCACACAGAATTTGATTTATTATATTAATAGTTACAAATGGATGCAGAAATTTTCAGCTATTTAGTTTTATAAAGATCTGTACTACAATGTTAAAAATTTCTAAATATATTTAATATTTTTTTAGCAATTCTTTCTACATAGTGAGTATCTTAGAATAAAAGTCCAAAATAGCACCAATCCAAATTTCTATCCCCAAACTTGTATCCAAAACCCAAAGTCACAAATATAGGTTTCATTAATACGCTAATTTACCATAATATCTTTCTCTTTGTCTAATTAATCATCTTTGAAAAAAATTGAAATCACGACGTCGGCTTCTCACATCTCCGATGTCGACGACTTCTCACATTTCCAGCGTCAATCATCTCATCATCTCCGGCGTCGCTCATCTCTCTACGTCATCATTTCACTGTCACTCATCACGTCTCTCTCCATCAGCTCTCCTGCTGCGCCGCCGTCTCTGTTTCGAAAAGGTATCTTCGATCCATGGGTTTTTTTATTTTGATTGAGATTTATCTTATATAAATTTTGAATTTCTTCGAATCAGAGGTATATGGTATATTTACTTTTTAATTTCAGTTTGATGAAACATTTATGCTATGATCCATTCTGATGGACTTTTATGATTTTGGTTTAAAGGTATTTGGTAACGATGATGAGGAAGACAGAAAAATATTTCTGCATCTAGATACGGATCCGTAGTGTGGCCATTGCCAATAGAATCAGTGTAGTAAGTTGTGTTTCTTAGCACCTGAGCTTTGCAGAGATGAACTCACTCTGAAGAATATCAGATAGTGGGTACAACTGCTAAGGAGGTTTACTTTGATCAAAGGTATATTTAAGATGGTATGTTTAAGTGTAGACGAATGTTTTATGTACAAAGAGAGAAGATTTTTTATTCTCTGAAGATCTTTAAAAAGACTCAAGGGAGAACTCTTAGTATAGAGAGAACTAGTCTCGGCTGATTAGTTGTGGTAGATGTATTTAGTCGCTTAGTGATAAGCTTAGTTGTTGCTTAAATGAATGAATCAACTAGAATATTCTCTGCTTATGTCAAATGGTTGCGTAATGACTGGTTATGTCTTGTGCTGTTGAAATCTTGAGTTCTTGTCATGTGCTTGTGTAGTGACTGCTTATGTCAATGCTTTTTCCTGCAAGATTTGGATTCCATGATTAAAGTATTTTATTTTTCAAATCTATTGTGTATTAATCTTTTGATTGTATATATTTTTTGACTGTGTAGCTGCAGTTAGAGTGGTATCATACTTGTCTCTGCCTTACTCTGCATTGAACGCATTCTCCATTGTTCCAAATCCTCCGAGAGACTAGAATCGGTGTATGACTACGTGGCCAACCATCTTTATAATGGTTTGTCGATGCTGCCTATCATCCCGGGAAACCCGCGTGCCTCTCCAACATCGAGTAATCGTTGCAGATCATCGCGTGTAGGTCTTTGTAGATACTCGTCTCCAAACAATTGTACGATCGCATCGGTGAATTTATCCAAACATAAAAGCGCAGTACTTTCACCAAGACGGAGATATTCGTCATACGTATCTCCCGATTGACCATATGCATACATACGTATAGATGTTGTACACTTTTGAAGTGCAGATAGCCCGTACCTTCCGTGAGCATTTCTTCTTTGCTTAAAGTATGGAACCTCATTATTTAGACGCTCGACTATGAGAAGGAACAATGATTTGTTCATTCTAAACCGCCGCCTAAACATTTCTGGGGGGGGGGGTATGTAGAATGCTCCCTGAAATAATCGTTCCATAGTTGACTGTGTCCTTGTTCCCGATCTGTTTCGATAAAAGCTCGTCTCCTGGGGTTGTTGGCGTCAACATCAACTATGGCTTCGAACGTATCATCAAAATGTTGATCAAAAATTTCCTCAAAAGCTTCTTTTAACATTTCATCTACAGCATCAGAGGATGAAGAAGACATTTTTGGCTAAGTGTTTGAGTAGGAGAACAGTTTTTTATTTTGGTTTGGTGAAATTTTGGTAAAGTTTTTTTTTTAAAAAGGATGAGATTGATACTTGAGATTTAGAAAGGATGAGGTTGATACTTGAGGTTTAGAAAGGGGATAGAAAGAGTGAGATTGATACACGGGTTTGATGAACACTTGAACAAAACAAAAAAAGACATGAATTAGAGAGAAATGTTTTTTAAGACAAAGATGGACATGAAGTAGAATGAGTACATATGTTTATAAATAGAGATACAGAACTCGATATTTTAAAACACAAGTGCAGAAACATACAAAATACTACTCTTTAACCTTCCCGTGAACTTTCCCGTGAGCCGATAATTTGAAAAACACTTGCACAAAGAGAAAAACAAAAGCAGCTGCAAACAACACCTTCCCGTGAACCTTCTCGTGACCTGCACAAAGAAACAAACAACAATACAAGTTAAGCAATCAAACAATAGAAAACAAGTTAAGCAATCAATACAAGTTAAGCAATCTAACAGAGAGAAAACAAGTTAAGCAATCAGAAAATAAACAAGTTAAGCAATGGAAAAATAAAAGAAACACAAACAAGGTAAGCAATCAGAAAAAATAAAAGAAACACAATCAACCTACCACATCAAATCATTGCAGTAATGAGTTTGTTCTTCAAAGCCACTTCTACATCCGAGAGTGAATCTTTTCGAGCAAGGAGACGCTCTAGCAGTTTGTGCTTGGAGATGGTCTCTTTCATAGCTAGCATACTCTGTAGTTGATCGTACGCAGCCTCTTTGCCATGCTTCACATGCTTGGCTTTTGGACGCTTTAACCCCGGGTGGCCTAACCTCTTCCATGTCAGGCATGTTCTCTACAGGTTCCTTCCTTTTCTCCTTCGCACCATCTCTGGACAAAGAGTTTTCTCGCCATTTTTGGTCAAAATAAAGCTGTCTCCAGGCATGTTCAAGACTTAACTTGGCCCCGTACTCATTAGTGAAGATGTCATTGGCTTTGGTCATGAGATCATTATCATTTTCCCCACTTCCTTGGTCCTTCAACGCCGCCTCATAGCTACCGACGAACTTACACACCTGCTCGTTGATTCTTCCCTACCTCTGCGTACATT